CATGTGTGGCACAGGGACCGCCAGGACGTGAGGGTGACTAAGGTCATGTGTGGCACAGGGACCGCCAGGACGTGAGGGTGACTAAGGTCATGTGTGGCACAGGGACCGCCAGGACGTGAGGGTGACTAAGGTCATGTGTGGCACAGGGACCGCCAGGACGTGAGGGTGACTAAGGCCATGTGTGGCACAGGGACCGCCAGGACGTGAGGGTGACTAAGGCCATGTGTGGCACAGGGACCGCCAGGACGTGAGGGTGACTAAGGCCATGTGCGGCATAGAATGTTGGACGGATAACAGCCTCATCGTTTCAAAGATGAAACTTCACATTCAACCCAAGAGACGACCTCAGGCCACCAAAGCTCAAAAACGCCTAAACATCAGTAATCTGAAGATCCCTGATGTAAGACGAACCTTTGAAATGAATGCCAGACTCGCAAAAGTTAGTGCCATCTTTGGCAAGCTCGGCAGCACTGCTTGGGACAGGAGAGGAATTGGACGAGAAACGAAGATCAAGGTCTCTTCCCAGCAGTCCTCTCAAAATTGCTCTACGGACACGTGGCCAGACTACCAACGTCATGCCAAGATACAGAACCATTTTCACACAACGTGCCTCAGGAAACTCGGCATCAGGTGGCAAGACAAAGTTCCCGACACAGAGGTCCTTGCTAGAGCGAACCTACCAAATATCTTCACCACCCTGATGCAGTCTCAACTCCGTTGGATGGGACACGTACCCCGTATGGAAGACCACCGGTTCCCAAATCAGATATTCTTCGGAGATCTCACGATAGCAAGCGCTCCCAAGGAGGTCACAAAATGCGTTTCAAAGACTTACTGAAAGCTGCAATAAAGCCCTTCAGCATCAACCCTACTGAATGGGCGCAGACAGCCCAGGACAGAGCCAGGTGGATCTCAGCTGTCAAGAAGGGGGCTAAATTGTATGAAGCCAGTAGGATAATTACAGCTGAGACACGCAGGCTAGCCACTCAGCAACTATCCCCTGCCCGCGATACCAGAGAGTATTCCGAGCACGGATCGGACTAGCAAGCCACCTACGAGCTGACCGTAACCCACCCTCCCTCTAACCGGATGACTCGATGGTCCTAGTCGATTTCTATGGACGAACAACAACTGGGTAACTTTGCTTTAACTAAGTTGGTTTGGGGTTGCTGCTTGGGCACTCTAAGATTTTTTTCCATCGTTGATATGTGTACTGTGTTATAAGCATATGACACAGATTTTTCAAACGACACTAACATCTTATCTTACGGCACAATGGTGTAGTGATTTTTTTTTTTTAAAGAACAGAAACATGAGAAAAAGAAACTCTTATTGGAGAATTCATGTTTTTTTAAGTAGAAAGGAGTGCATGAGATATATTCCAGTGAGAGAAGACATAATGAATTTTCGAATGGATTTACTGAATTAATATTAGATAAATTATTGAACGTGTGTGGATATATATTTTCAGCAGTTCAACCATAATTGTTACAACATTGCTTTGATGTCAATTAATTATTTGACGTATTTTGTATATGTAATAAAGTGTCGTGTATTCTATTCATTTGCTTCTTAGCAGAGAGTGAGAGAGAGAGAGAGAGTGATTGTGAAGTTGAATATAATAGTAGCCGCAAACCATCGCATATTTTGAGGACTTTATTAGCTAACATTTATGAGTAACTATACTGAACCACAAACACCATCTATAAAAGTTACTCCACATATAAATGTTACATGTTTACTTTCATTCGTCGATGAATTGTACTTTTAGCTCATCGTTTGCACAGAACGTAAAGTTGTTGTTTTTTTTTATGTGTGAGGAAAGTAAAGTTGGGGGGGGGGGGGGGTTGAAATAAAATGATACCATGATGGTGACATGACAGGCAGTGGCACGCACCTTCTGCAGGTGGGGGTGAAACTATGATTTATCTAATAGCTGGCACAACAGCAAGCGGCACACACTATTTGCAGATGGGAGATGTCACTGCGAGTCACCTTATTTCAGTGCTGTCCAACCTGGTCAAAGCAAAAACCCGAGGGCCACAAATTTCATCTCAAATTAAAATTATTCACACTATGAATAGTTCGTACATAATGCATAAAGAATCATATATCCAATAGCGGTATCGGCTCACTAAGAATAGAAATAAAACGAATTAAAACTGTATTCCTTTTTAATGACATATTTTGCTTTGGATTGTACTTGCAATTTTTTTTTTTTTAAAT